TGGTAATTTTGGACCCTTCTGTGGTGATTTTATTGGAATTTTGGTCCTTTTGGGGTGCTATTACATCTTTTTTGTGCAAATGTTGCCCATTTTTGTGGTGACTTTCTGTATTTTGTGTTAAAAAAAAAATACTCAAAATCTCTGAGGACCGATCCAGTGTTCAGACTGTGACACCTGGATGGATTTAGAACTGATCTGGTGTCAGTTTCTAGCAGAACTCAGATGTGTTCTTCCTCCTAAATGTCATGTGTCTATCTGCTGAACTGTTGAAGTTCTGAGGCTCAGAAATGATGGAAAAAGTCCATTAAAGTGATAAATCTGGACCCTCCTCTATGGACTGGAAGGACCTGGAACTCTGGAATATTCACAGTCTGAAGGTAGAACTCTGATCATTAGATAAAGGTACTGCAGATACAGAACCAGATGTTCTGAGGAGGTTCTGGAGGAACTTTGGTGGATCATATTTCGATGTCTGCAGGTTCTCACAGACCTCGTGGTGTATCCGCTGGTAGACCTTCTGCTCGTTGTCCAGCACTACAAAAGACTCGGAGGGAATGGCGTTGCCGTTGAAGATGAAGCTGAGGTCGCCGCGCTGACACTTCATGTCTGTGAAGTCTATGAGGGTCGTATCCAGTCTGCAAACACAGGAGACAAAAACAGGGTTCAGTGGGAGAAACGTGCAGAAGGAAGTTCACATTCTCAGTAAACACAGTCAGGAGGAGACTGTTTCTGCTGATCGCTGCCGTCGGAGGCCAACAACAACATTTCGGGGATTGTTTCTTGTGCTGTCGGAGCGGTTAGTCCAGGAATGAAGCATGACAGCAAAGAGAATAACGGATGGTGCTTCTGGAGGTGTGACAGGACCGACGCTGTGCTGCACAGCCAGAATGTAAATGAACCCACTGTGACAGGTTTCTTTTCTTTCTCTCACCCTCTTCATCTCTACAACTCCAGGATAATACGAGGGCCTTCTGAATATGGGATGAGACAGCCGGGAGCAGTTTCAGCGAATAATGACAAGCTGCACATCAAGGTTAGCTCACGCAGGAGCAGCACAAACACGTCGCATGAGTTCAGTTCAGCCTCAAACAGAACTGATATGAAACACAAATGTAGAAGCATCCGTGTGTGAGCTGGTTCGTCATGTTCACGTATGTTCCTGGTGTTAGCTCAGTGCAGGAACACGGACTCTTGCTGCAGGTTGTGACGGCGTGTCGCGGTGTGATGATGAATTTCTGCTTTGGTTTAAACTGAACCACAGACGAAAGAGATCGGCTCACAGAAGAGTTCGGCTTCATCGCCCTGCAGCCGCTGATTTCACACTCTAGTTCCCCAAACTACGATGAGCAGCTCAGAGGGGAGGCAGGAGGTGGTGGTGGGGGCAGCACGAGAGGGCAAACTAGAGGCCTTAAAGTTTATTGATAACTGGAGTGTTGTTTACCTTGATGAGGTTTCCCAAATATGTGTCTTTCAACTTTTCAGCTCAAAATACTGCAAAGAATTTCTCCATGTCTGTATAACTCTGGTTTTAGTTCTGCTCTAAACAGACTGGCCCCGCCCCTCGCTGCTGGCCCCACCTCTTGTTGCTGGCCCCACCCCCTCCAGGAAGAAGACTCTGTGATTGACAGCGAAAAGAAAAACAAGTGACCTCACTTCTTCTCTCCGAGGACCATTTCATCTGGAAATATGTGTGAGTTCTGAACACAGAGTTGTTTTTATTTTGTTTGGTGTTTCCACAGAGCTCTGACCATCAAAGCTAACGTTAGCCACATTAGCTGCACAACACGCTAACACTAAGGGTTCTCCTATAGTTGTGGCCAATGCTAATGTTAGCTTGATTAGCTGTACAGTGTGCTAACATAGAGGGTTCTCCTGTAGCTACCAGTAATCTGGATGTTCAGCTCCTGCATGAAGACTCTTGTGTTCACTCTAACAGCAGAACATTTGGTGAGTTTTGTTCGTGGTTCAGACATTTCATAGTTTAGCAGAGGCATCTGTAGGAAGTAAATAAACCTGGAGGACTGAGAGGCAGCTGCTCATTCTGATTAGTTCACCTGAAAGTGGTGAGGGGGCGGGGCGACACAGAGCTGGACTACTATCGGCTCCTCAGTAGAAACGAAATGAGATTCTACCTGGTTTGTCGAGCTGGGAGGACAGCTAGCTGTGGAGGAGTGATTACATTTACACTTCAGACTTTTTAAGGGAGTAAAAACTGATTTTCACCTCATGGGACCTTAAAAACAAGCCCACTCCAACACACCGCTGCTACAAAGCAGCTCTAGAACGCCTTTGTGTTTGGCATCAAAGCCTAATTTAAAAGAAAAGCGGTTTGTTGACAGGACCTACCTGATGTTGATGCCTTGTTTGTAGATCTTACATGCGTCTGAAGGCAGGATTCTGGAGAGCAAAGGCACTGCAACAAGAAGAGGTACAGTAAGAACATGGAAAACATCGGCTAAATTTAGAAACGCTCACTCAAAAATGAAGCGCATCATCCAGTTCACAGCCTGGGCGGCACATGAGGCTGCAGACCAGAGCTCCATGTAGCAGCAGGAACATGTAGCTGAGCAGTAAATATTTAATACATCCTCAGCAGGTTGGTGACTGAAGACTACAGACTCCTACTGGTCCATCCCTGCACACAACCGAAAATAATTCTGAGAACATGAACCCACATATCGTCTGAACAGGCCTGAAGCCAGAAAATCCATGTGAGCTGCTTCAAACCAGCCTCCTCACAAATCTGTAGCTCTGCAACCTACAAAATATAGTTTTAGGACGACTGTCACCTTTACTTTCACACCACCTCCGAGTACAAACGTTACGCAACCGTTTTGTTACTATCGGGCTGCGTTACATAATCTTCTCCACTTTGTCAATAATTCACAAAGACACAGAAGTCATTCCAGTCCGAGGTCAGGCTGCTGCAGACCAAGCAAATGCTGATCGGACAGTTTCCGCAGACACGTTTGTCTGCTGTCACATCGTTTTCCGTCCAAATGACGCCTGACGTTATGAAATTTCACCAGATGAACCTGCAGACTGATCGTAAACGGTGCGTCAGTTCATGTGCGGCCTCGTGGTTCCTGTAAAAACCCACGAAACAGACAAACAGGCTGAACGTCGTTGGCACACGGTCAGTTTCCACTGAGGAAGCCAAGTTTGGATTGATGCCTTCTGAGCTACAACCGTTCTTTTGAGAGCACGAGAGTTAAAACTTCTCATTGGTTAAAGTGCATCAGGACCAAACCATGCTCAGGCTGCAGAGAGACCTGGACTCCGTGATGTGGCTGCAGAATGAATGAACTACAGTCAGGATTTTGGCTTCCTACCATTAATGAACATGTGCAGCGTTGACAGTTAAAATGTTCGTAGAAAGCAGCACATGTAGATAAAACAACTCGGTTTAAACAAAATCTGACATCAGAACACCTTGTTTTACTCTTCTATGGTCCCACAGCTGTAGCCGTCCAGCAGCGTCTACTTTTACCTGCGTGTGAGGCGTTTAGGGAACATCTGTAAATTGTAGTGTCTACTGATGAGCAGATGTTCAGCCAATGAGAGGTTTAGGTCAGTGTCCAGTTTGTAGCAGTGATATGAGACGAGCTGGTGGCAAAATTAAAGAGTTAAAGTATTTAGCAAATATAAACTTGCAAGTTACCGTTAGTCTTTACATCAATGCAACCGTTGGGTATGCAAAAACAGCTACCTGTTTATCAGGACGCGACGCTGACCAATACCAAGCTGTAGTAAAGAACAGGTGTGGAGGAACACCATTTTAAAAATGTACCTCGTAGAAATGCAAAGTTTTGTCCATTTTCTTAACCGATAGCTGCCAAGTTATTAATCAGATATTGATTAATTACTAGAACGAATGAAGCACACTGGACCTTTATCCATACACTGATGAAGACACGCAATGTTCACAACAACATCCGTTAACGTGTAAAATGCTGTCCTTGGTTTTTAACACCTGAGCTCTGGTTGGAGGTCATGAACCTCCTCAGAGTCTCTGTCATGGTCCCGTTGCTGCTAAACTCCCACAATGCTCTCTGCTGCCAACATGAGCTGTAGTCTGAGTGACGCCTCCTCTGGTCTCTACAGGAATAAACAGTGAGAGGCCCCACCTGGTGGAACAACCAGGTACTACAGCTGGTCTATGATACATTTACTGACTTTGTCAGTAATCGGCACTTAATCTGTGCTTTTAATTGGATAAATTATCAACAGCAATTGACCGAAACCCAGTCGCACCTCTGATTTGACAGTCTTTTATGTTGTATGTCAACCTGATGTTGTCTGTGAGCACACAGTGGAGTTAAACTCACCCCAACTCTGGAAGTCCCAGTGAAGCTCTAAGTAAAAGTCTCCGAGCTGTGAAAGAAGATAAAGAAAACTAAATAGGATGCAGAACAACACGAGATAAAGTGTAGACGTGCAACACTATCCATTACTAAATGCTACAGAATGAGTCCAGCTGCTTCTGATTCGTTTGACTGTTTGTAAATAACTTGTTAATTCTGTCTAACACTACTTTCTGACTTCTCTACTTCAGATGTTAATAATGAAACACTAACTTGGTGGTTTCATTAAAAAGTTGGGCTGCAGTTTTTAGCAAACAACAGTTATGCATCAGAATACGTAAAAATAGAGAATTTTCCAGGTGTGAGAAAATATAACATTCTCAAAATTCAGCCCAAAATGTTTTACAGAACTTAAGTTTTGGTTCCTGACGAACACATTTATGAAGGTTCAGCAAAATCCAACAGAGTGCAGCAACATGTTTCCAGAACTGTCTAAATGAACGGACTGGTCCTGCAGCAGAAGACGCACTTTCAAGAAACGCTGACACAAAAAACATGGAACATTTGAAATTCAGCCCATTCTACAAGATTCTACAGATTCTCTACAATCAGAAGAATCTGTACAACATGGACAGTATGTTTATTTGTATGTTTTACTGACACTTCCTGTGTTCCTGCACCAGCCTCTTTGCTGCTGTAACCCTGCAGATTTCCCCACTGTGGGATTATTAAAGGATTATCTTATCTTGTGTGTGTCTGTAATAAATCACGCCTCCTGACAGAACTCTACTCGTAAGGTCTAATTATGTGGCGAGGTCGGGATGCACCGACGCCATCGTCACCGCCGCTGGTCTGAATCCGTCGTCCGCTCTGACGTCGGGCTGACGTCGGATCGTCGCCTCCCTGAGCTTCATAATCTCTGAGAACCATCCAGGAAGCATCGAGCCGACTCGGGCCTCAGGTGCAGCGCCGCACATTATGGCTTCCACAATAAGACATGTGGGAGGTGAAGGGAGGTGCAGCGGCTCCTTTAAACTGAATTAAAGCCCGCCGGGCCTCCTCTGGTCTCCACATCTGCCTCCTTCCTCCCTGGCTCTCTGGTGGGGGAGGCGGCGCTGCACAGCTGACCCCGAGGCTGAAATCTCCAGATGATTACGCCTACAGTTTGGCCTGCATGACTTCATGTTTAGTAACAACAATACAGAAAAGCCTCTAACTGTGTCGGTCTGTGCAGGATAAATGTGTTTGTGTTCGTCCGTGTGGGACCAGCAGGAGGAAGATTCAGGCTCTACGTTTACAGAGTTTGTATGAGCAGACCTCTTCTGGACGTCCTTCAGCTGATCATAAGTGTCCCTGCTTTGTTGTAATGACAGTCATTTGTGAGAGACGAACTTGACTGAGGCCTGGGAGGGATTTAGCACATCTAAACCCACATGTGGGCTTTTCTGCAGGCAGCGGCGAGGTAGGAGCACCAGGATTAAAAGGACAGAACATCTGTGACGTCCTCTTGGACAGCGGAGGACACAAACAGAGGACAGAGAATAAAATGGAAGCGAACTGAGAATCACATAAAAGCCACGGACCTCTTTGAGGGCTTTCAGCAGCTTGGGCCTCTTGTCCTCGACGGTTTCTCTGGACTGTTGCTTCAGCTTCCTCAGCAGCGCCGTGACTGAAAGGACAAAGAACGATGAAGATCAGATAACGAAACCAAAAGCATCAACTGGCTGAGTACAAGAAAAGACGAAGAACATCCAGAGCAAGTTTCAGTCATTAAACACTCTCAGATAAGACGCACCTAAACTCATTAAAGTTGTTAAAAGTTAATCCAGTGTACAGTATGTGTTTGACAGCGTTCCTGCCTCCAGTCTGTTCTTTATTGTTCTGCAGGTGGAACCTTGTTGGACAGCGAGCAGAGGGCATTGTGGGAGTTTGACGACGCCTTAATGAGCTCCAACCAGAGCTGTGTTGAAGACAAACTAACCAGGACAGAGCTCCTGTGTTGTTGTGGTGTTGATTAAGAAAATCATCTAAACAAACATCATGAAGGTTAAACCTGCTGCTGATTAATCCTGATCCTGATCTCTGAGACCAAACTGAGCTTTTTCACTGTTTAGTGGAGCTCCTGACTTAAATAACAATCATTTTAATTTTATTTTTATCATGTTTGTAGTTCACAGTTTAGCACTTTAATATACAAACTTCCATTTTACATTCTGCTGCTTTGCATAAAGACAATTTATCATGATAAAAATGAACATAAATGATTATTTTCATCTTTAGAACATTGGATTAACTGTAAAATAATCAATAGGTTATTCAACAGAAGAACAGTCGTCCATTTTACGGCACTGTTGGTTCAAATGCTGCAGGTGTTAAATTAACTCAGAGGAAAAACTCTATAAACAGCTGGAAGCAACAAACTGGACTTTATTCTTCATTTGGATCCTCATGAGCTTCCACACGGTGGCTGCTGGTCCTCCTGGGGTCCAAAAAGATGATATAAATACTGTGAGTCTCACTAATCTAACCTGTAGGGGTCTGTTTTTATCACAGTAGCTTCTATTATTAGGAACATTTCAGTTTATGGGCTGAAGTTAAAGACAAACATGTCTTTGACCAACCAAAGCCTCCTGATCCAAACACCAATCTGCAGACTCCCTCTCAGTCTTTAAGAAAAGACTAAAGACCACTGAACACCTTTGCACCTGACAGCCCAAAAACAAGCCAACAACAAACAAACAAAAAAGAAAATCCTGTTCCCTCCCTACAGCCTGCGACTGGCATCAACACCCGATCACACTTGAACTTGTTCTAAGGCTCTTATCCAGGTTGTTCTCTCCTGACCAGATCCTTACTTGGGTTGTATCTGCTGTCAGATGTTCATCACCTTGGATAAAAGCGTCTGCCAAATGAAACTGTAGAATTGTAGACTTTCAAACAGTGGCTTTTGCTCTCTGATGGTTTTGGACCATGTTGGTGCTAAAATGTGGGAAAAGTCTTTAAACTGCTTCACACAAGTCAAAGTCCAGCCCTGGTTTCTGTCTTTCTCTTAATGTGGCTGCATGAAGCTCAGACTCGTGTTGGAGTTGAGGAGTGACTCGGTCAGACGGTGAGGTGTTGATCCAGACGTGAAGCGAACTGTCACAGCAACACAAAACAGAGCAGCTCTGAATACAAAGCAAACCGTTTCTTTATGCAAATCCTGCTGACAAACAGCAGCGCTGAAGGCAAAGAGCTGCACTTTACAGAAACTTCCTGCAGCCAGACGGGTCGTCCCGGCAGCATCCAGCCAATCAGGGCTCGGCGCCTGCAGGCATCGCAGCGTTCAGGAGGTTCAAAGGAGCGCTGCAGATACGAAGCTTCCTGTTAACGAGCTTCAGCTTCCTTAACGAGCGGAGGGACGTTAATGGGCTCTGTGCTGCAGCGCTCCCAACACCGGCTGGTTTATGGTAAAGAAAGGCTCCACACCCAAACACCAGGCGGGTATTTAACGCTACAGCTGTTAGTCAGGGAGTCGAGCTGACGTAACCATGAAGACATGAAGCCAGTTAGAACCTCATGGAGGAAAAACAACAGAGTGTTTCTGGGACACTCAGCTGTTCCATTCAAACAGGACGTCTGGTAGAATCACTGGTCTGACATAAAAACTGTCCGAACTCTGAGACTGCAGCTTCTTCAATGTGATTATTTTCTGGTTTCCTTCAGTAAACTGAACATTTTGGGTTTTTTCAGAAACACTGATCCACATTTTTCACCACTTTCTAATAAAACCTGTCTGAACTCTGACTGCAGCCTCCTGAATGTGAACACGCGGTGGTGAGTCCGAGGCCTAATGAGTGTGGACAGGTTCTGGTTGGGGCTCAGCAGGACCAGGTCAGAACACGACCCCCCACCTGGCCTCGGACCACCCAGCCAGCCCGGCCGACACCGGCTCGGGCAGCGATCGGGGCACTTTGTCGGCTTTAATCAGCGACTTCGGCGGTTTGAGCTCTAACGAAGACGCAGGAGGACGGCTGGCGGCCCTCCAGCAGCCTGGGAACAATTAACACGGACTCAGGTACGATTTGGATCATCGAGGCAGCGAAGCGGGCCGCAGCCGCCAACACGACTATCTGAGCAACTGATCTTAAAACTCTGATCCACATTTTTCAGC